AGTTATTTGGCTCACATTTCAACAGATTTGTATCAAAATATTTTTACTATCCCATTTTTTTCGACTGATCCTGCTTACAGCTACTCTAAAAATGTCATTTACATAATTTATTCACTCAGCCAATCAGTTTGAAATAGTTAGTCTTTCGAAAAATTCTCTCCAATAAACAGCATTTGCCATCATACAATGATTTAAAAGGTATATTTATAAAAATGAGTGGTACGGTATTTACTCTTAACTGTATTTATTAGATATACCGGTTAGAGCTGTCCGATAGATTCATTACAAGTTTGAATATGTTTGCACTTGCTCTTTTGCGCTAAATATGCAAGGCTGCTTTTGTGGAAGCCAAGCTTCTTCTTGTGAAAGCTAAGCTTATGTTCGTACGTATTATTATTTGCTTTGCATCTTTGATTGTGAGTTATTTTCTGCACCACTACACGCAAATTATTCAAAAGTGTTTATAAAACACCACTTTAGTAGAGCTTACTCGCGGTGAGGTCCTTAAATTATTACTAAAACAACCAAAAGTTCTGAAAGATTGAGTGTTTAATTGTCTACCATTTTGCAAAAAAAAAAACGCTGTATTTTGCAGCCTTGTAAATACTGTGTCTCATTAATACCTTTGAAGTAAAGGGTAAATACACTACCATTTTCTTTTACAAAATTAACTTTTGCATGTCTGTAAAAGGAGGCATGTATTTTATTACTTTATATTATCCACCACTTTAGATTTTTTTTTTTAAAAAAAAGAGATGCACTCGTACTTTAGCCGCTGATTCAAGCTTGAAGAAGGTTAAAAATCTCGAATTTCCTAAGCCATAAAAATTTTTTTGAACATGCGATTTTTGGATTATCATAGCTACCAATTTATTAATTTGGTTGCTATCTCATCAAATTTAGTTTTTAAATTCAAGGAAGAGGGTTGTTTTTATATGAAAAAATCATAGTATATATAAAACTTCATTTAATTATAAATGTGGTAGTTTTAAGAATAGAAAAAGTGTCTGAAATGATGCATGCTACAATGTCAGTTTTTCAGTGATGTTTAATTGTTTTTTACCTTAAATGTTTGCCTTTTTTCAAAATTTTTCCCCTCAAAAACGTGGTTGTGCAAGTGTTTAAGATTTATTTTGAAGAAACAAGATAATTATATTTACCCTAATAAATTTAAATATACATGCATAGCTGCCAACTCTTCCGGTTTTCCCGGAAGATTTTATTTTCATATTTAAAGTGCTACCAAAATTCATGTTATTTCACTAAAATTTGTGAATTATAATAATAATTTTAAATCAGTTTGTCGACCACTACATATAAATAATTACAACAAATATATAAAAGCATAGTAGTCGTTGCGACAGCGAATTTTAATCAGATTAAAATTTAAAAATATTTCTTAGGTAAATAGTTTTTCAGTAATGGATTTTCAGAGTGGTTATAAAACAATAAACGAAAAACAATCTGATTCCGAAATATATTTATATTTTGATCCCGTTGAGATTCGCTAGCGCAAAGATTATTATGCTTTCATATATTTATTGTAATTATTTATATGTAGTGGTGGTCAAACTCATTTATAGTTATCATTATAATTCAAAAAGTTAATCGAAATAATATGAGTATTGCTACCACTTTAAATACGAAAATAAAATCTTCCGGAAAATCCGGAAGAGTTGGCAGGTATGTAATTGTTTTACTACCTCTTGGAAAATCCATTCTCGAAAAAGAGTGATTGTTGGCAGGAATGTACTCCTACACAAACACCATGTGAACAATCTTTACAGAAGCAAATGTTTAGGAAGGTTTTACATAGAGAAACTATTGATACAATTGGAAAGATCATGCATGAAGTTTTGAGAAAAAGCGTCCCGTTTTAACCATGTAAAATTTGCTTGGGTAAAAATCAGCGTAGGAAATTAAAAGCTACTTTCTTTTTTCACTTACACTATAATTAAAAAAGCATTTTTATCCACTTGGTTACCCACTTAGTATTTTTATCCAATTATTACGTTTATATAAAATGATTATAATATTTCTGGCACTAAAGCTATAAAGAAGTTATTAATTCAGAAGTTTTTTACATCCGAATTTTGCATTGGTAAAAACGATATATTTTCTAAGCGCTTTAAATATTCTTTTTAAAATTGTGCTAACAATTAACCAATGTAAAAAATTTTCAAAATATCTGCCGCTAAAAGATTGATTGCTTACTTAAAGTTGGAACAGTGTTTCAATAATTTTGTGTAACCCATTATAAGTATATGTCTAAATTTGAAACTGAAAATCATATTTCCTTGTTGCCAAGACTACATTTTTTATTTTTTTCTGTTGGACTTGATTAGATATAGTTTAGACGTTAAAAATTTTTATATTCGTCTAAACATAACAGTCCTACCAATTTTCCCAAAAAGTACTTTAAAATTAAAAGTTGCATTTTCGCACAGTAGCCTCAATGGGTTCATAAAATGGCTCTTAACCCCTTGGGGACGGGTGATTCAGAAAAGCATTCGTGCAAAATCGGAATCAAGATGTAATTAAATAAAAAACGGTAACTTAAATGTAGTCGTTTCTAATTTGACAGACGTACTTTGCTTTAACTTCAATTATTGTTAGTTTAATCATATATATAATCAATGTTAGTTCAAAGTATAACTAANGACTCGCGCACCTCCCAGTTCTTCGCAGAAGGGATTGAAAAGTTGCCAAAACGTTGGCAGACTATTGTTGATTTGAATGGAGATTACTATCCTCATTAACTTTGCTGATTTTCGATCTATTTATCATTTTACAGGATTGTTTTTTTTTGGCGGAAAACTTTTTACTCAACCTGATATCTGCCGCTAAAAGATTGATTGCTTACTTAAAGTTGGAAAAGTGTTTCAATAATTTTGTGTAACCCATTATAAGTATATGTCTAAATTTGAAACTGAAAATCATATTTCCTTGTTGCCAAGACTACATTTTTCACTTTTTTCTGTTGGACTTGATTAGGTATAGTTTAGACGTTAAAATTTTTTATATTCGTCTAAACATAACAGTCCTACCAATTTTTCCAAAAAGTACTTAAAATTAAAAGTTGCATTTTCGCAACAGTAGCCTCAAATGGGTTCATAAAATGGCTCTTAAGGCTTTGAAACAAGCCATAAAACGTATTGTTTCAAGGGATAAAGCGTTCGCCTCTCAATATGATGACCCATGTTCGATTCGATTTCCAGAGGAGGCTGGTTGATACGAATTTTGCTCCCTGCTCACATCAACCATACTGCTGACATAAGATACCGACAGTAGTAGAAGGTTCATGAGTTAGAATCCCCTTGTCACTGGGATAACAGAGGAAGGTTTTCGTGGTTTTCCATTCCGCGAGTTACATGGTACCCGCGGTCATTGAAAAATTTCAGTATTGGTAGTAAATTTAGGTTAATGCTAGACGATATTTTTTATTTTAATACACCACTTTGTCTTTAAGAGGTTTAGATGCTCGAATTTTCGTGCATATATACTTTCTTTGGAGAACAAATTTTAGTGGTGGTTACACAGAAATTAAATTATAGACATATATTTAATTTTCGTTACCACTTTTAAAAATTTACAAGGCCAATGGGAGCCCTGAGGTTCGTTCCATCAAAAAGTCCTCCACAATGGCTAGTTTATTCCAATACTTGATACAGGAGTTACCTAGTCTTCTAGATCGGGTTCAAAATTACAAAGCTACGGAATTGAACATAGAGAGTCATAAATTCGTAATTGGGTCGACTGTTCCACGCTGGTTGTGAAGTTAAATCTGATAAAGCTGCCTTAGTTAGGCTTTTAAAAATATTCAAAAATTATTAAATGCTATTCATTGATTAGAATGATTTTCATCTAATTGGAATAATATTGATTTTTAACGTATAAGGCGCATTACGCGCGTATTATAACGTATTACGCGCATTCTAAGTTTTTGTTTTCCTGACGTCTGTGCGTCGAACAAATTTAAAGAATACCTGTTAGGTAAGCGACTCTCAGTAGCTTTTTTAAAAATCCCAATAAATTAAGCCTTACAAACGGCGATAAATAAGGAGTAACAAGGAATGCAATCATATCTCTCAGCCACTCCCCGTGTTCGAGCACATGATCTCAAATATCTGCTCTCCGAATTGTATACCATTATGATCCATACAACAATTTCCTCTAACTATATGCATTTTTTTAAACTATTTTTTATTTATAAATATCAAACGCGTTATCTCAAGGTTTCGTTCAAGTTTCATGCTATTTCAACATTAAAAACGTCCTGAATTGCCCTCTGGAAGTTAAATTGTAACAAGCTTGTATTTATACTTTTTTTTCCTCATTAATATCACGCAAAAAAGGAAAATTAACCAGTGACGGCATGTCACTTAAAAGTTTAAAAATAGCAACGAAGGTAAATGATTTCCCCTTTTCCGCCACCTTAAGGATTAGGAATTCACAAGTTAATATCCTTCGCACTACTTTAGATTTCCATCCAACATGAATGTTGTTGTTGTTGTCGTAGTTGATTTACGTCGCACTAGAGCTACACAATGGGCTATTGGCGACGGTCTGGGAAACATCCCTGAGGATGATCGGAAGATGTGCCATCACTATTTTGATCCTCTGCAGAGGGGATGGCACCCTCGCTTAGGTAGCCCAACAATCTGCACGCGAAGTTGAGCACTTTGCGGTAGAACAGTTTAACGAAGAACCATACCGCACACCCTCGATCCCTAGGCAGACGGATCCAAGTGGACACCCGCCCGCACACTGACCGCAGCCAGTGATGCTTAACTTCAGTGATCTGTTGGGAAGCGTGTCTTAATGATCAGTCCACTGCGGGACTCTAACATAAATGAATGTCTTGATTGTGTCCCTTTTGAGCGAGTAGTTAGTTAAATACTTTTTATAGGTATAAGTATGTTAATGTTTTCTACATGCTCCTTCACCTATTTATTACGATGATGGTAATCCATCACCTCTACTGTGCTTTTCTTTTGCAGATCGAAAGCGATTGGCAGTATGTTGCTATGGTGTTGGATCGTCTCTTCCTGTGGATATTTACGATAGCGTGTGTGGTTGGAACTGGTTGGATCATTCTCTGCGCCCCGGCTCTCTACGACGACAAACAACCCATCGATATTATGTTTTCTAAGGTGGCACCTCGAATAAGAAGACTTCTAAGGAGTGATTAACCGAATAAATAAATAAAATAAAAATCATATTTCATCATCTCTTGAGAAGAGCAAAACGCCAAATGGCTGCGTCGAAGTTCTTCAACGCAGCCAGTTTTACATGGGTTCCTAAGAACAGTAAAACGAGGGTTCGTGGAATGCTTTTGAAAAAATAAAGAAGTATTATACCTTCTTTTTCATCGCCCTCCAATTTAAAAAATTCGGGTAAATTTCTAATATTAACTTCAATCATGTGGTCAATTACAGGAGGTTCAGTTATCCCAGTGTATATTTTTAGAATCGTTTCAATAATTAAATAAATAGGGTAGATACATTTAAAATCGTAAATTAATATTTAAATGGGGGAAAAGCGTTATCGAAATCGGAAAATTGAGAAAATCGGGAACAAAAAATGCAAATTAATTTGTTTGCCTTATAAAAATGAAAGTTTTTACAAACAATTATGTTCTACCTTCCTTCAGTTTCTTCCATGAATAAAACAACAAACGATCCTCTTATTTTTCAATAATTATTCGTCAGATTATAAAGTCTTCTTAAATATTAATTTACGACTATTATTGTGCACATTCCGTATGTCATTTTTGACAAGACTTTTGTAAAAATATATATTAAGGGCAGTAATGTAAATTCTTGTATTCCTTTAATTATAAATAGAATGGGATATAAGTTATAAATAATATAATGCACCTAAATAACTAATTAAAACAGTAAAATAATTTAAAATATCATTTTTTACCATTTTTACCTGCATTTGATTTTTTTAAAGATTTAATATTTGAGACTTTATTATCAATAAAATTATTTTTTTATTTTTCCTTTGGTTATTTTTATGGTTTTTTGCAATATCAAATGACATCAAGACAGATTTTAATGTCAGCAACAACCTTTATCACAAAGCCCAACAAGGTTTTTAACTGATTAACAAATAAACCTTGCAAGAATGAAACAATGTTGAATTTAACTATGCAGGTTTACACGCTATGAAGTTCGCCTTAAGCTTGTATAAATAAACCTTTTATTTCGAGACTGAACAGCTGTACAAAACAAGACTATACAAACTTACTGAAATCAGGGATGACTCATCATTAACAAATCAAGAGTATAAAGTGTTCTCAAACCGAAGATAAATTAATTTTCCCAAGGCTTATTTTAGATCTTAAAACCTCAAGGAAACAAATTTCAGTGCAGGCATTTATATGCTTTCTTCAACTCTTTAAAAGTGAAAGTTGGCATGATCATTAAATTTTTAACGAAAACAAAATGTTGTATTTAAGAGCTTGGACAAAGCTAGAATGAAAAAAGAACGAAATCAAGGCTACAGTAAAAGCTAAAAAATGATTTTTTAAAACAAATTTTTGCATGCCATTATTCAATTTTTAATGTTACAAGCTTGGCGTACTAATTTTTCTAAGTTTAAAAAATGGTTATTTAATCAAACTTTCTATGCCAACCAAAATAAAATGAAAATACAACGTTTGTCGAAAGGTTACCCGCTGCCTGGGCATTATTCTTAAAAGCACATTTTCTTACTTGATATCCTTAAGCCTGTCAAATAACCCAATTACTTTAGTTATTATATTAGTTATTGGCAAAAAACTTTGGAATTGAGAATTGCGGCAGTGCAGAAGTATAAAACTCTCAAACTTCTCGGCCACACATTATACCTCTCAGCTAAAAATGATCATCCGCGGCTCAGCAGAAAGCATAAAAACACTTAAAAGACTAAAGCCACCATAACAAGAGGCAGGTCAATTTTTCTTACTGCTGTCATGTTTACAATTAATTTAATTAAATTATACAACTATAAGTAATTGTGTCAACATCAATTATTTATGAATTAATAATTATGATTAATAATGATGTATGTTGGATAGTAAACTTGAAATGCTTCAGGGCAGTTAAGGGTTAAGTAGATTTAGAAAATAACTCTTTGTTTCTATTTAATTTTTTTACTCAAAATTTATACAACTTTTTCTTTTTTTTACCATATACAACTTATGCAATGTATAGAGAATTAACAAGTTTGAATCTTTATTTATCTCAAAGATCTATTAGTATCGATGGAATTTTGATACATTGTGTTTATTTTTTCAGGCATTCTACGAACTCTGGTGGTTGTATCTTTATGGTAGGCCGCTAGTAGATTTCATCTGCATTTCAGATGGCTTACATTAAAATTTTCAGCATTCATTTATCATTCATTTTCATTCAGTTATGCTTTAATCGCGAGACACAGTTTTGTCTGCTATATTTCTGCTCAGCATTATAATTCTAAATATTTATAAAGTTAAAAATGAAATACGAATAAATTTCAGTAATACAAGAAAAATATTTAAAAAAAATTATTAAATAGATTCTGTGAATTAAAAAAATTATTGCGTTTATAATTGTTTTGTAAATTATTTTTCAACACTTTAATTATTCAAGTTTTTAGAAACACCTATTCATCGATAAAGGAAGTGTATTTATGATTGTATGTTTAATATTTATTAGCGAACTTTTGAAAATCCTGATGGACTTCCTGAGCATGAATTCCTAATGGAGTATATGGATTGATGGTTAAAAATGTGATAGTTAAATCAAACGAAATCATATGTACTTGTAATATTTGACAAAAACATTATATTTTGTCGAAAACTTTTTCTCCAACTAAAAATATAATTTAAAAGATATATAGTATTTTTTTAATTTTATTTCCAGTGACATCAGTAGGGAGAAAATGCTTACTTCCCGAAGCTATAAGTATAACTTAGTGAAAATAAAAAAAGAAATATTTATTCTTTTCTCAAGTATAAAATTTGGCAAGATTAAAATTTTTTCAAAACTATGTCATTTTTAGTATATTTTATAACTATCAATTGAAATATTGTGATACATTTTCACATCAATATTCTACCCAATGAAGCAATTATTAAAAGAAACAATAAATAAATAAAACATTTAAGACAGAAATTTCTAATTTAAAATAATCTGGAAGAAAGAAAAAAAAAAGAATTTTTTTAAAAAATATAGGAAATCTACTAGCTGCCTTTCCAAACTCTTGCTACAGATTTGTTGTAGTCCCTACCTAGGTTTATCACTAATAACTTAGATATCGGCAGCTAATGAAATAGGCAATAAAATCTATAGCGAATTGTACAAATTCTTAGTTTCTAAAACAATTGGTTTTAATTCTCGTTTGTGTTAACATGCTTTTCTTTAGGTTGCAGCTTGGGAAATAGTGTTTTAGAAAACTACCTTGCGCCAATGCTTTGTGGTGAATACCAATCACAAATATTTTTCTGATTATGAGGAAGAAATAAAAATTATTGTGTGCATGCAAGTTTTTCTTATCTCTACCTTATGCTATTTTTACTTATTTTCATAATATTCTTCCTACAGCTATGTTTGTATAAATAATGTGATTTCAGCTTTAACTGTAATATTCCAACTGAATGAAATGATTATTTCTAGCATTCTGTGCATGAGGATACTCAAATGTCAGTAATTTCCAATTTTTATTAACTGCAGCCCTAATTAAAATTAAGATTGTGCTCAGTAACCAAAGAATTTATTTTCAAATTAATGTTTTATTAAATATTCATTACTATGCAAAATGCAACAAAAATATTAAGTTTTCATAATGAGAAAAACATAGGAATAACTAAATGATCAAGTGAATATGAGTATTTGTATAAATAATGTGATTTCAGCTCTAATTGTAATATTCCAAATAAATGAAATGCTTATTTCTAGAATTCTGTGCATGAAGACACACAAATGTCAGTATTTTCCAACTTTTATTAACTGCAGCCCTAATTATAAAAATTAAGATTGTGCTCAGTAACCAAAGAATTTATTTTTAAATTAATGTTTTATTAAATATTCATTACTATGTAAAATGCAACAAAAATATTGAGTTTTCATAACGAGAAAAAATGTTGGAATAACTAAATGATCAAGTGAGTATGCCATTTATAAATAGAATAGCCTGAATCTACTCCAACTTTTCAACTTAATCAACTTCAGTTATGACACAGATGAAACAACGGTGTTCCTTTTATGTAATTTTTTTGAAGCTCTAATCTCTTTGGAAGCAAGCAATATTTAATTATAAAAGACATTCTAAGTTACGAAAAAACTCTGTTAGATTAACTAAGTTACTATATCTAAGTTACTAAAACTAAGTTACTAACTAAGTTACTAAAAGTATTGTGATTTTTTGTCTCATTTATATTCAAAAGTAAATTAATAATTGATTTTGAAAGTTAAAGAAATATCAACGATTAATAACAGTTTCTCTTAGATCGAAATTATTGTCAATAAGAGCAAAATTGAAAAATTATTGTTTTGAAGTGAGCCGTGTTTGGAATATTTTGCCTTCAACGCAGAAGAAAAGACACCGGTGTTTCATGCTATATTTCATAACCATCTATAATTTAAATGCTAAATATTATATTTTTCACTTATTATGACCCAAGCTAATACACAATAATGAAAAAAGTATGAGAAATATGATTGAATAAAAATTCTGCGTCAAAAGATTAAGATAAGTGATAACTGTAATAGAAGGATGTGTAAAATAAATTGAAGAAATATAAGTGCTAAATTTATATTTCATAATTTAATTCAGAATTTTATTAACATTAAAAGTTTATTAATAAGTCTATTTTTTTTCTCCAAAAATCTTAGAAAATCTTAGTTCATCTTTATTTCCAAATTCTTAGAAAATCCAGTGACTCAAGTTTTTGTCGTTACTCACAGGTTGAAAACCATTTCCTTACATTTTGAAGATGGGGGGTGGGAGATTTTACCAATGCGTCTAAAATTTAATGCAGACTGCGACCACAGGCTGAGCTATGTCTGTGCAGGCAACTATTCGTAGATCTTACCAATTTGGTTAATAAAGGAATCTAAACAGTTCCGTGTCATTTGATTTTAAGAGTTCGTATTTAAAAAGGCTCCAAATTCACTGATAACAATACATTTAAACATACATACATACATAACATACAATAACATACATTTAAAAGCATATTAACGTGGTGGGATTTTTATGCAAAAAAGAAATTATTATTTTTTACAATCTAATAAATATTTAAATTGTCATTCGATTACAGTAGGTACGAGGACATAGTTATTTTACTACTTCCCTACAATTAGAAATATAAAGGTGATATTTAAAGTGGAATCGGTACGTAAGTCATTAAATTTGAATCCAAAGATTTAAATTGACACAAATAGAAATGCTGCATCAAAAGTATAATTCGTACAAAAATTTAAACGAAAAAGAACGCACACTTAACACATTACCACAGTAAAGAACGGTGTCCCCGATTCAGGCGTTTCCGGTTGAAGTGGTAGAGGAAAATTGTTTCATTTTAGGCGGTGGGGAACAGAACACGCGCGATGATATCATGTTTGGAAATGAAAAATAAAACGGCTTGAAAGTACTATACGTCAAGTATAATACAACATAATATTTTGTGTTACTATATTTCTTCATTTTTTTAGAAATTTGGTTAAGATTTTGTTTTTAAATTTTGTTCTTCTTTCTCGCGAATAAAAGATGGATTAGGAAATGATCAGTGTACAAGTTTTTAAGGAACGTTTAAGTTCATATACATAATATAC